GCCCTTTTGGCTGTCATAACCCCCTGGGATTTGGAAGCACGTCGCAAACGTAACACTGGAAATGAGGGTGGCGGCAACCATGTAATTCCCACACATTTCCTTCACCCCCTGGTTACTTTCTGCCAACATCCCTTCGTGTTCCTCCACGAAGATCATCCATGGAGTCTTGCCCTCATCGTTTGGTTCATTCATGAAGTAAGCGGGCATAAGTCCGTGCACATACTGGGAATGAATATTGTTAATATGAGATTCATATATGCAATTTAATAATGGGTTAAATTTCATCCAGCACTATCAACTATCACTTCAATAACACTTTGTATCCTAAACTAATTTTTCAAAAAATACTTCAACATGTTGGATGAGTTCTTTAAACCTATAATACTAAAATAACAAGCTTTATTTTACTAGGTGGGATTGGCTACATAGATCACATGGTACATTATCGTGCATCAACAACTGAATTTTTGGATAGATTATTAACCAAATGGTCTCGTTCAATGATTTCATTGGTCTTGCCCTGTGCCTTTTTTCAGATCACTCTGTAATAATCAACTCATCAAATTAATGAAACTAACCTGAAACCAATGCATTTCCCACTGCAGCAAGTGAATGACAGACACGGACATACTGGGAGTAACAGAACGCTTTGCGGACAAGTGTAACGCAGTATTTCCCTTGACATCCTTTCCATGCCTGAGGCGCTTGTCATTCCAACTTGCGTGCTTCATCACTTCCGTCAATATTTCTGATTGCCTCGCCTCTATTGCCACCAGCACTATGTTCTTCTTCTCACGGGTTTTATCATACTCCTCTGATCCTATTTATAAGGCACTTCCAACATGTTTCACACAACCAAGGAAAACCTTAAACTTCATTAACTCTCATTTAAAATTTAATGACTTTCCAATTTTATCCCTATTTAATATACATTATACTCCTCCGGTCCTTATTATAAGACCCAATTTGACTTTTTATTTGGTCCTAATTATAAGACCCAATCCATTTTGTCTCTTATATTTATGCATTTTTTTCCAAGATAATCCTTCTAATAATGATAGTTTTAGCCAATATACTTAATTAGCAAGGATATTTTAGGAATGGCAACACTTATTTATTATAAATAACCAACTTAACTTACTTCCTTAATTTTCTCAAATAAGTCAATTGGGTCTTATAATTAGGACCGGAGGAGTACCTCGTATAAACAAAGTCAACACAACAATAAATGAAGGGTAAAATTGTACATCCATGTAAAAAATTTCTCTCAGTGCCTTATAAATAGGACTAAAAAATACATTCTCTCTCTGCCTTATAAATAAAACTTGAGGAGTATATCGCAAAAGGCTTTCGTCTCAGGATTTCCCTCACCAACTCCGTCGCGCCGTTTCTAGTTGCGCTCAACAATACTGTCCATACTTCTTCAAACCCTTCACTCCATCAAATTCGAAAGGAAAGAAAGAAATTCATCAGACAAATTCTGACCCCTTGGTTATTAACTAATTTTTAGTTAGTCATATGTCGTTTTGTTAATTACCGCTGTCTTCCCGCTGGTCTGCTGGCCGTGAAAAGGGTGCAGGTCTCTCTTTGAATGCTTCCCCATGAACCAACTTTGAGAACATATCACGTGCGTCTACTGTGCCAGTATTGGCGTCGTACCAAGAGTCTCCGTCTACAAGAAGTTTCATGATCTTCAAACCAAGTAGGCGTCTCTGTATATTCTCTACGCACAATATACACACAGACACACGCACACATTAGTAACTCTTTGTTTGGTCAGTCATATATGTTTCTTATTATTATGTGCCCATTTCATTAATTAATATAACAAGCAGATAAACTCGAATCAATTAATAGCTAGTAGGGTACGTACTACTAGGGAATCTGAAAACAGCTTCAAAGGTACGAATTACTTCCTCCTCTGTAACCCTTTTGTTGGTCCGTTGCTCCTCATCCATCGTCATCTCTGAATCTTCAAGATCGATAGTACTTTCTTCTCCACGATCACGATCATCATCAGTAGGAGGATTGGGCTCTTCAGCATAAATGACTTTATGATGATGCATGCATGAATTCTTATGGTTAGATGATGATGATGATGATGGATCGCACGCAACATAATAACCTCATTAATTATTCTAACTTGAATAATTGAACATATACGGAAATAATGCGCTTAATTGTACTCACAATGGAAGAAAATTCTCTCCCACCAGCTAAGATGAATACCGCTTATGAATGGAGAGGGAGTAGAGGCAAGGATTGCCAGAGGTGTCTTGCCCTTCTCATTGGCAAGGACTGAGATGCCTTGGCAACATTGAATTATTATCAACGACAATTCTGCAAGTAGTGCACCAAAAGAATAAAAATTAGCTAGCTAGCTAGTAGCCTTTATTTGATAGATAGCTAGTTAATGCACTGGTGTCCGTACCGAAGTATTCTCTCCTAATAGTGCAATGAAGCATAGTGTCACTGTTGTTCCTTCTCCAATACCGTTGGCCATCTTCACCGGCAGCACGGTGGAGAACGAGGAAGGCCTTTCGGTGATTATGAAGAGCAGCCAATTAAGAAGAGAGGAGTCTCTCCGTTGTCATTACGCACCCCAATCTGCAGGGTTCAATATATTAATATTACAGTTGAGATTAATTCCCTTTAAGTAATGAGGGTGCACAAAGAAAGATCATTCTTCTCACTACCAGTGATTTGGGGAACAGTTTTGTGATGCGCTCACAGATGAGGACAGAGCCACGAGAGGCTGCGCAGTGAAGAGGAGTATTGCCTGTGCCATTTTTCATTGACAGAATGTCGAGGGCTTCTTCGCCTCCCCCCCGGCGGGATTTGATTGCATGCATCAATCGTTTGACCGTATTAGTGTCCTCTGTCTCAATGGCGGCGTGGAATGCCGTGTCTCCCCACGTGTTGATCCTGCTCTTCTGAATCTCTGGATCACTTTTGTACATATCCACAACACGCCCCCACTTACGATTCTTCACTGCGGTACGCAGTTCCATTTCCTTACTCGTCATCAAATCGAGCCCTTCCAGTTCGGAAACAAGATGGAACTCTGCCATTTCAAACTAAAACTGATTTTACGACTATCTTACGTGGGGTGCAAGGGATCAATGGATCGATCAGCAGGAAATAATTAATGGCGACTGAGACCAGACGGAGCTTTGTGACGATTTAAGTAGGCGAGCTAAAGCCGTATAACATCATGGCCCCATGATGGGAGGAATATTACTTTCGTCTCATCCGTTGGGTGAAAATCTTAATGTGGGCCCCTTTTTCATATATTCCAACTTGTCTGCTTTAAGAGCAACATAAACAAGCTGCACATCGGTGTGGCTTTAACAAAAGAAAAAAGAGGGCTGTGCAATTCATCTTATCATGCAAGTTTCAATTTGAAGGTAAATAACACTACTTCTGGTCTTTACCATTAAATTTGAGTAGATTAAAAAGTTAGGTAAGTTTATCAATTATATATAATAGATGTGATTTAATCTTCTAAAAAAATCCTGGGTAATATTAGGTTATATATCAGTTTATAAGATATCTAAATAAGTTAAAAAAAATGATAAATACGATAAACAAATTAAATAGATTGAGATGTTATATATTTATGATCAAATTTAAATCCTAATTAGTTCCTATATTAAAAATTAGAGGGAGTATCACTGTATGTATACTTTGTTTTTTTTTCCATTTTAAGGGATATTTCAAGTATCAGTTTTTTAAAGTAAAAATAATGCTTATGCTTCCCGCCTGTTCAAGGAAAAATAAAAAGATACCTGATGAGAAAGAGAAAATTAAATGACACGTTTGTTTGTTTGCTTTCGTGTTTCATGCATGTCTTGGATGATTTTGATTTTCTTCTTCTCTTTCTGTTTTTTTTTTTTTTTAAAAAGATGTCTGTTTCTTTTTTAAAAAAAAAGGCTTATGCTTCCTGGCTTCAGTTCAAGGAAAAATAAAAGATACTGATTCCTTTCAAAAAGGAAAGAGAAAGAGAAAATTAAATGACACGTTTGTTCGTTTACTTTTCGTGTTTCATGCATGTTTTGGATGATTTTGATTTTCTTTTTGTTTCTTTTTCAAAATTTTTCTTGTTTTGGGACCCTTTGATCATCATCTTCATCTTAATTCTAACATCTTGTTCCAAGAAAGTAGTCATGATGTGAACCTCATCCTTCATAGCAACAGAAAACCAATCGAGGAGTCAGTGATAAATATTCATTCCAGAACCAGGACGTGAACCACATGCATGCTTTGATGTGGTGAAATGAGGAAACGGATTCGGCTGCTCATCAAAATAATGAATATACAAGCTTATTATATCTGGATTGTTCAAACATGATTTGGGCGGTTGATATTTGATTTCGTTTTCATCTAAAATAAAAATAATTTTTTAATTATTATTTTTTTCAAAAAATATTTTTATTTAAAAATAATTAATTATTTGATCTCCGGTAGGGATGCGGCCGATCCTTTGAGAGCTGTAAATGGCGAGAAAGGCGGCGAGGGAAGTGGCGGAGGAGAAAAAGGAAACCAGTGCCGTGATAACAAATATGAGGAATTCATAACGGTTGCCTACAATCGGCCTGCCGTTGCCTCCGTCGTAGCCTCCCGGGATCTGGTAGCACGTTCCAAAGGTAACGCCGGACATAAGCGTCGCCGCCACTATGTAATTTCCGGATATGTCCTTCATCCATTGGTTACTTTTTTGCACCAGATCATGGTGTTCCTCCTCGAAAACCATCACCGGCGTTTTGCCTTCCTTATTTTCCCGTTTAATGGACTCCGGCGGCATCATTTTCTTCACATACTGCATACATAAATACAAACGTATGTACAGTTGAATGATAGCTACAAATTACTCGTATTAATTAAACTAAGTGATCATATATATTCCTCCAGTACTAAATATAAAACCTATTTTGTAGTGTAAATTACACTATAAAGTGGGTCTTATATTTAGAGTCGGAGAAGTATATGTATACACACACCTCAAACCAGCTGATTTCCCATTGCAAGTGAAGGACAGACGTATCCATAAGCCTATGACGAGAAGGCTTGGCGACCAAGTGCAGGGCAGTATTGCCATGGACGTCGGATGCATGGTGAAGCTTCCGATTCCAGATGGCTGGGTTCTTCTTGAATTGCTCCAATAGGGTTGACTGTCTCTCTTCTGCCGCCACCAACATCACATTCTTCTTCTCGTCAGTTTCATCCTCAATTGTTTCCAAGATTGCCCACACCATTTCGGTAGCACCATATTTTGTTGCTCTCAACAAAGGTGTCCATCTTAATAATGATGCTGCATGCGCATGCACACTTATTATCAGTTACCCACATGTAGACAAAAATAATAAAATTAATTAAAAGTGCCTATGATCATAATTCCAGACAAGTCTTCCTACTTCCATATGTAAATCCTTTTTGACTAATTTTCACGTATAGTTAAATTATAACTAAATATGCCTCAAATTGATAATTTTTTCCCAAGCTTATTCTTATTAAAATTCTCTCCCTGTATGTATAAATAAGTTTTAACTCTGAATCTTCTTTCTTTCTTTTCTTTCCAATGATAATTAAATAAGAGTAAGATTGAAAAAATAATTATTAATAAGTAATAACCCTCCAAATGTACTTATGTTTCGAATTAAAAATATTTCTTCTATAAGCAACTTATAATAAGGAGTCGAATATTGGTAAATGAAAAGATCTAGTTAAGCATTAAAATTAATAATTAATTACCTGTGGTACTTCTTAAAAAGGAGAATCCGAAGGGAGCTTCATTGGGGGGAAGCTGATCAGGTTGTCCAGCAAAATCCGGGGCATAAATCGGGATGACTTCGGAAATAGGAGTATGATCATTGCGTCAGCAACATCATTTTAATTAAGAAAAATTAATCTTCTCGGCTGCTTTAACTTTTAAGTCAGTCATGACCAGTGATTTAATTATGTTGAGTGCGACTCAGTTTCTAAATATTTAACTGCCTTTAAAATGTTAACATTGATTCCCTTTATAAATTTTTCCATTCAAAAAATTAAAAACTCCTTTTAGAAATTTTATCCTTGTCATCCATTGCTGTATCCAACTTGGCCAAAAAGGGGGACAAACCAAAAAAAAAAAAAAAACAAAAGCTGAATGAGCGGCCGCATCATGTATGACTTCGCCTGAGGAGAGAAGTGGGGTGGAAAATTATGACCCAAGGAATCCTAACTTTAATTCACTTTTTTTTTTTTAACTTTGTAACTTACTTTTTAAAATACTCATATTAATTAAGCATATCAAAGGATTTTTATTCAAAAATAGTCATGATTATATTAAAAAGAATACTTTAAGAAAATAAACTCATATTTGTTACAGATAACTAGTTTAAGTAATTTTTTATCTATTAGTAAGTTTAGTAACTCTCATATTAAAGGTCAAAGATAGTAATTAATTAATAAGAATAAAGCTAAATAAAAAAAATTAATTAAAATTCTTGATGGATTGATGGAGGTGGGCGCACTTACATGGGTAAAAAAGGCTCTCCCACCAACGAAGGGGAGTGCTGCTCTTAAATGCCGAAGGAATAGAGGCCAGGATGTCCAGAGGTGCCTGCCCTTTTTCATCGATGATGGAAATCATGTCGGGAAGGAGACGCATTAATAGCAATGATAATTCTGCATTAACGATGAATTCAATTCAATTACTACCTCTGGTTCTTAATACAAGATCTAATTTGATTTTTATTTTGATTCTAAATATAAGATCTCAATCTACTTTGTCTCTCATATTTATGTATTTTTTTAGTAGTCCTTCTAATAATGACAGTTTTAGCCAATACACTTAATTAGTAAGAATATTTTAAGAAAGACAACACCTACTTATTATAAATAACTAACTTAACTTATTTTCTTAATCTACTCAAATTAGTCAATGAGCTCTTATATTTAGGATTGAAGATACTATATTACTCCCTCAGTTCCTTATTATAAGAGACGAATAACCGAATTACGTTAATAAAAAAACAGTTAAAATTAGTTAAAAACAATCAATGTGTAAAAAGTATAATTTTTTTCCAAAAATACCCTCATTAATAAGGAGAGAGAACATGAGAGAGAACAATGATAAATTATTAAAAGAAAGAGAAATGGGAAGGAGAAAGAGTGTGAGTTGGAGGCAATAAATATGGGTAAAATAAGAAATCAACACAAAAAAATAGAGACAACTTTTAAGTGTCTCTTATATATAGGAACATGCCATAAGCATCAAATGTCTCTTATAATAAGGAACGGAGGGAGTACTATATAAAAAGCTAGATAACTAACTAATTTATGAATATTAAGAAAATTAGTAAAATTAGTCATTTGAAATGAATATATGTTATTTTTCTTGGCACAACCTTGTTAATCACGTGTACTTGAATTACTATAGTAACTCCTCAACATGCGCAATCACCATAAAAATCACTTAAAGGCAAAATAGATAAATATTAAAAAAATTAATTTGGGTCTTATATTTATGACTCAATTAATTTTTTAACTAATTCTTATGTTAAAAATTAGAAGTAGTATATACTTCAGTACTATTTATCAAGCAAAGGATTCCATTAACTAACTAAACCATCATCGAATGTAATTTTGAATAACGTGTTATTCCATTCCATTCGATCCTAAACAAACAGTACCTCTAGTCCAAAATATATTAGTCATTTTTAACCATATCATCATCATTAGAACTATGGAAGAAAAAATAACTTGTAATTAAACCCGTCTTCAATTGAAATTCCCACCCCCAACCCATATTAAGGATTTGAAAGAAAGAGAGAAAAATATGAGGAGTCATATTTAAGCATTAATTAAAGGGATAAAATTAGCAAATAAGTTTTCATTATTCTCAAAATAATTTATACCATGGATTAAAAAAAATTTTTCTAAAAAAGTAACTTGTGTTTTAAAGTGAAGAGAGTAGAAGACCTAATTAACTAACTTATTTTTAAAATAAGTAAAATCACAGACCGAAATTCTTTCGCTGAATGGTTAAGTGAAGTGCAGATCCCCCATTGGGCTTCACGTAAGGAGCTGTGGCATGCTCAGGTTCTACATATCCGTAGAGAGGGAGGAAGGCCGCCGGGTGACCATGAACAGCAGCCAAGAACAAAGGCGTCTCTCCCTCGTTGTTACGCACCAGAAGCTTAATAATCAACATTCAATATCATCATCATCATCATCATCATCAATAATAATAATAAGTTTTAAATTTTATATAAAACAAGTGACGTCTCAATATATACTATGAAGTAATGCGAGTTTAAATTTTTCGGGCTAATGTAATATTTGGTAACTCAAGTGTGCTGTCATTTTAGTTTTGGTGTCTCAAGTTTCAAACTATAGGTTTTGGTCATTTAATAGGCAAGATGGTTTAAGTTTTTATTGAATTATAAGGACTAATATTTTAAATGAAAAGAAACTTGAGAGATCTAAAGCAAAATACAAACAAACTTGAAGGACCAAAAACTGTGTGAACCTAAATTTTTCAATGATTTTTTTTAAATATCTAAAACTGCACAGTTAATACATATATTTATATATATAGAAATTGTGAAGAATTCAAAACTGCAACATTAGATATCAGAATGTCACCTACTTTTAGTAAAATCTAATAATGAATAGGGAAAAAAAAACATTTGAAAAGTTGAAGCACTAGAGATGGATGCCCCTTGCCCCTCTCTATGCCAGTTACACTCCGCAATGTTAATAGTTAGAGTGAAATATTCTAACCACTATTTTGCTTTAATTACACATATTTTCTCTCAAATTTAATATATACATATATATAATAGTTGAGACCATTAATATAGTCAGAAAATATTTTTTAAAAAAATAGAATCACGAAGCATGCATGTTTTTAATTAAAAACAGAATAATTAAGATCCAATCTCATCATGCAGATGCATGTGCATCATGTAATCAATAAAAGAGATTAAATTAATTACGGCCCGGGTTCTCTGTTCATCGGTGGGAAGGGCATGAAGGATGCGGCGACACAACAAGGGAGAGCCTCTATATGCGGCGCAGTGAAGAGGAGTGTTGCCCCACTGATTCCTAGCTGACAGAATCTCCACGACGTCTTCTTCACGTCTGGGCATTTCTTCAAACAGCTCATCGACGGTGCGGGGTGGTGTCCCATAAATGATAGCTGCGTGCAGCACAGTGTCAGCCCACTTGTTCATCTTGGCCAGCCACAGCTCTGCATATGGCGGCTGGCCCCTCATTGTGCGCAGCACAGCCCCCCAATCTCGCCTCATTACCCCGCGACGCAGTTCCTCAATTGCCCCAATAACGTCCCCATCCAAATTCATCTCTCTCCGATGTGTATAGACAGACAGACACACACGCACACTTCAACTGGATCTCTGCAAAAGAGATCTATACACTGGCTCCATATAACACACACGCTGCTATTTATACCAAAAATATATCAAATTGCAATATGTTTTAGGAAGCATTGCAATACAACAACAACAAGCCTTATCCCACTAGGTGGGATCGGCTACATGAATCACATGACGCCATTGTGCTCTGTCAACAACCCAATTCTTAGACATGTTGTTGACTAGGAGGTCTCGTTCAATGACCTTATTCAACGTTCTTCTCGGTCTTCCCCTGCCTCTTTTTATGGGACTCCATCTTGTTTGATCCACCCTCCTCACCAGGGCCTCTAAAGGCCTTCTCTGCATATGTCCAAACCATCTTAAGCGATTTTCAACCATTTTCTCTTGGATAGGTGCAAAAACGTGTGGAGAACATTTTAACAAAACTATTCAAAATATTAGTTAAATTTTAGGAAGCATTGCAATAAAGTCTCAAAAAAGAAATATAATTACCAAAAAATTCTATGACAATTTGAGCAGTCTGTAGTAATAATAATAAGTCCTATAGTAAGTAACGGCAACTTTTAATTTGTTATTGAAATTTTTTCGTATTTATTTTATTTTCTAAGGACCTTATTGTAATTATTTTTACATTTCTGTCATCAATTTATCTTACCGCTCTCTATAAATAGTAACAGAGAAACACGTGTGCGTTGATATGTAGCTTCCTTACTTACTTCTTGTTGCTCCAAACAAGTCTGCTTCCTTTCTACACTTCTGGCCAAATTATTCTTTTCTTGGTGTAAGACAGAATAAAGCAAACAGGGGAGTTAAAGGACCCCTCCATCTGTCTGTCTTATTACTCATTCCGTTTCTTTTCATGAGGATTAACTATC